ATTTACAGTGTTTTCGGGCTTCAAAAACGGTCAATTACAGGGCCTACTTTGCGCAGACGTGTTCTCAGAACAGAGGAAAAGACCGGTATTTACAGTGTTTCGCGGGTTTTCTAAGATGTGGCCAAACTTGTCCTTAAACCCGAACGCCTCCAGCAAGCCGAACAGTCGTGCACCCTGAAATCCGAAACCCCGAAACCTGAAGCAAGCCCAAGAGTCGTGCACCCTTAAAATCTCAACCCCACAGCGTCAAGCACGTCCCCAGAAAAAACACAAAACATCTGGAGCCTGAAACCCCAAACCCCATGTGACAGTGCACCCCCTTAAACCTTAAATCCCATAGAAAAAGCCGAAAAGTCCTTTCACCTTACAGCCTCAACCCCAAACCCTTCCCTTAAACCTTCAACCCCAAATCCCAAAAAAGCCCAGAAGATCCCTAAACCTTCCACTGTGAATCCCAAAAAGCCGAAAAGATCCCGAAACCCTCCACTGTGAGCCCAAAAGGTCTTACCCTTAAACCCTAAACCCCAAATCCCAAAAAACCTCAAAAGGTCTCTACCCTCAAGCCCCAAACCCTAAACCCTCCACCGTAAGCCCAAAATGTCTTGCCCTGAAACCCTAAACCCCAGATGCCAAAAAAAACCAAAAGATCTGTAGGCTGAAACCTCAAACCCCATATTTCCACTGGAAGCCCAAAAGGTTCCCAAAAAAGCCCAAAAGATCTGTACCTGCAAACCCTAAACCCTCCACTGTGAGCCCAAAAGATCTTGCCCCTAACCAACCAAAAAAACAGAGGAAAACAGTAGACAGCGTGGTCAAGCGTGCACAAAGCCCAGCACGACCCCCATGTGTGCACAAAGCACAGCACGTAATTACCCCCCCACCCCCCCCCCCCAACCCCTCAGCATGGTCATGTGTGCACAAAGCACAGCACGTAATTACCCCCCCCCCACCCACCCCCCCCACCCCCCCCGCTTCTACCCCCCCCACCCACCCCCCCCCCTCCCCACCCCCCACCCCCCCCATCCCCCCACCCCCCCCACCCCCCACCCACCCCCCACCCCCCCCCACTCCCCCCCCCAACCCCCCCCCCACCCCCCACCCCCACCCCGAACCACCCCCCCACCCCCCCCAAAAAACCAGAGGAAACGATAGAAAAAGTCAAAAAACAGCAGAAAACACCATGATCAGTTACGAGCGTGTCACCACCTACTACTACGACAACTACTACTACTACTACTACTACTACTACTACTACTACTACTACTACTACTACTACTACTACTACTACTACTACTACTACTACTACTACTACTACTACTACTACTACTACTACTACTACTACTACTACCCCTACTACTACTACTACTACTACTACTACTACTACTACTACTACTACTACTACTACTACTACTACTACTACTACTACTACTACACTACTACTACTACTACTACTACTACTACTACTACTACTACTACTACTACTACTACTACTACTACTACTACGACTACGACTACTACTACGACTACGACTACTACTACTACTACTACTACTACTACTACTACTACTACTACTACTACTACTACTACTACTACTACTACTACTACTACTACTACTACTACTACTACTACTACTACTACTACTACTACTACTACTACTACGACTACTACGACTACTACGACTACTACGACTACTACTACTACTACTACTACTACTACTACTACTACTACTACTACTACTACTACTACCACCACTACCACTACCTCCTTCTTCTTCTACTACTACTACTGCTACTACTACTTCTACTACTGCTACTACTACTACTACGACTACTACGACTACTACGACTACTACTACTACTACTACTACTACTACTACTACCACCACTACCACTACCTCCTTCTTCTTCTACTACTACTACTGCTACTACTACTTCTACTACTGCTACTACTACTACTACTACTACTACTGCTACTACTCCTACTACTACTCCTACTACTACTCCTACTACTCCTCCTCCTCCTCCTACTACTACTACTACTACTACTACTACTACTACTACCACTACTACCACTACCACTACAACTACCACTGAAACTACCACTACCACTACCACTGCTACCACCGAAACTACCGCTACCACTACCACGACCACTACCACGACCACGACCACGACTAGTACTACTACTACTACTACTACTACTACTACTACTACTACTACTACTACCACTACTACCACTACTACCACTACTACCACTACCACTACCACTACCACTACCGCTACCACCACTTCTTTCTTCTTCTTCTACTACTACTACTACTACGACTACTACACCTACTACTACTACTACTGCTGCTGCTGCTGCTGCTGCTGCTGCTGCTGCTGCTGCTACTGCTACTGCTACTGCTACTGCTACTGCTGCTACTACTACTACTACTACTACTACTACTACTACTACTACTACTACTACTACTACTACTACTACTACTCCTTCTCCTACTGCTACTGCTACCACTGCTACGACTACGGCTACGACTACGACTACGACCACGACCACGACTACCACGTCAATACACGCTGCGTTGCGTTGGAAGGTACACGTCGCGCAACATGCGTTTCTTGCCCCCGAATGCAGACCGACAGCAAGAAAAACGAAGAAACCAGAGGAATCGACCATGCGATTAGTACTCCTGGTGCTGGTACTGCCGGAATACTAGTCGAGTACTCCCTATACACCGAACAGTACTTATGCTGTTAGGAAAAAACCATGCAAATACTCCCAATGCTCCTAATACGTGAAATACTACTAACACTCATACACCTAGCAAGCCTAATACTGCGCATGCTGCCGGCATTACTTGTCTTAGTATGGATAAACAATGCTAAACAAAAAACTAGACAAAGTCCTCATGTTAATATTAGATTGCTCCTCATACTCCTCATCCGACTCTATACTCTGACTACTCACACTACTCCTCCTGTTATTCCTACTACTCCTCTTGCTCCTCCTAGGGCTCCTACTCCTTCTGCTCATTCTTCTCCTGCTACTCATTCCTACCACGATCTTGCTCTACTACTATTGCTCCCACTCCCACTCTCACTCCACCATCCAGTACCAAGACGGACCTTGGCTTGTCGAAGCTTCGCCAAGACTGCTGCGACCTGGCAGTTTCCGAAAACATGATGATTGAAACGCGAAATAGAGCCACATGCAGCATTGTTGCTGAGCAGGATTCTGGGCTGCGTGGCATCAGGGCCGATGCTCTGCGTTGTATCATCGTGGTCGTCCACGGAGCATATGCCCCCGGGGCTGAACATAGGCGGATACCTGCAGCCATGACACAAAGGGCCAACAAATACGAGCACCCCGCAAGCGCACTGCACATTACTGCACGGCGGCCAGGGCACGAGAGCCGCACTTGTTGGAGCAAACCTCCACGTTCGAGCACTGCCTTCAAAGACTTTGCCGAGAACTATGTGGAGAAGCAGTTGTAATGTAGCCCAGTCCCATGATTCGACCAGCACGATGCCCAGAAACGGGTGCGAAAATAGTCTGCCCAGCAACACACGGTAACAAACAGCTTCTTCGTGCACCGGACATGGGACTATCTGACGTGAGGTTTTTGTAAGCACTTCCCAGCGAACGTGTCTCCCGCGTACGGCACGGTGCAAATAGTATACATACAAAAGTATACATGTTTCCATCTTTCTTTTCTCTCTGCGCACCTAGTCTTCCTTCCTTCCTTCCACAATCTTCCACAGCACATGGCCCCCGAAGGGACCGCCCCGAGGGGCGTAGTCTACCGAGTTCAGAGTCGGTGTGAAATGTTTGAAAGGTGGGAGGTATGTGAGGGACAGAGATACACACAAGAGATGCCAATCAGGTGCCTCCCACCCTTCCCGGAGCAAGCACCTAATCTCTCTCTTGCTTGCTTGCTTGCTTGCTTGTTTGCTTGCAGAGCGTGTGACTCCCACCCACAGGGGCTCTCTCTCTCTCTCTCTCTCTCTCTCTCTCTCTCAGCCAAACCATCTTCAAAGACTTGAGCGCAACCCAGAGTCTGTGAGATTGACTGTGCCGATGTTTCAGAAAAGGTGACAAGAAGCACAAGAAGCAAAAGAGACAAACTCACGATGGAAGCACGTGCATTCGTGCTCGCTACAGGCCAGTGCAGCTGATGGACCATCAAGGTCGACGTCAGCCCTCAAAATTGTAGCCTTATCAGCAAAGAAAAAGAAAGACAGGGAGAGCGTCAAAAAAAAATGCACACTCCAACAGAAAAACCGACGATGTTGCTCGGAAAAGGAACCATCTTGAACCTGTCCTAAGTGCCGGCTTGTGAGAGTTGTGGCTGAGCTGCACAGCACAAAACACACCCTCGCTTTCTCAACTTGTTCGTGCATTTGTAAAGGTGTTTGCTGAAGATTCCTTGTCTTCAGTGGGAGAAACAGGTCTGGGACTGCATCTCCGGACAGTTATACGATTGCTAGGGCTGAACCACCGTACCGACATTCACGGCTGAGTGGCGCACACGAACGGGCGCACACACACGCTCACCGAACATATGTCGGATGAACGGATTCCAGAAATCGGATAAATGCGCCGGTCGTTTGATGATGCAGGTTGTGCTGGCAGTTTCGCATGGGCATGGTGATCTTCATTCCCTGCAAACATTCTGAGAAATGTTTCGCTCGGCTTAGATCAGCTAGGTTCCCGTTCAAATGGGTTTTGGTACGGATGGCTTACTCGCCACTCGCACTTGCAACATGGAAACATGGAAGGAAGACATGCTTGGCCCCAGATGGCCCCAGAACTCGTGATTTTCCGTGAGATCTTGTCCTCTTAGATGTCCTGCTCTTCGTTCAGAACAAGAGAACAACTGCCACGTGCAAGCATGTGTACATCTGCAATGCAGCAATTGGCACCTAGTTTTTCGTAAAGCGCGAAGGCATGCGAAGGCATCCTGCCTTCGCTCTTTCAGCAAAGAAGTACTCAAAGTTGAATCGAGAGCCTCGCGGCCCGAGGAAAACTCACAGAGAGCTGCACATGCTGAGACATACTGAGACATGTTGAGACACAAGACATATGATGCGTCACATTCCGAGGTGAAGCACCAAAGTTGCCAAGGACAGGAGGTGCCGCTCTGGGTAAGGCAACTTCAACAAACCTCTGCAGCAAAGCTGCTCGCACAATCTAACAGCGGCCTGCAACCCGTAAACTGAGGCCAAGCTCCTTACTTCTGCAGTGGCACTGCAATGGCCCGCAGCATTGCTGCGCCATCTCCATGTCGAAACAGCGCCTGCAAAGATGGCCATGGAGGGCCATGGAGTTTCAAGGTTTCGGCTCAAGAAGTGTCAGGTTTCTCACTTGAAGTTTAGAGCCTTGAACCGACACTGCACCATGACTCACTGTTCCCCCTGCGCAAAGTGCCTCACAAAGATTGTCGTCATCACCTCCGAGTGAGCTTAAGCGACCTGAAATTTCTGGAGGAGGGTTCAGCAAGCGCAGTCTTTTTTGTAACAGACTCTGAAAGTTCCGCTGTTAGCAAAATTGTACAATGCCCGGGCACCTTGAAGACCAGCGATGTATGAACACAGTTCGGCCATAGTCTGGCAAATGCAAGAAACCAAGAGACTGACGCAGGGATGTGGCTCGAGTCATTGGTAGCTTCTCGCTTTCGTGAAACAAAAACATGTGTCAGACATATGAAAACATGGCGCACTACGGGGCCTGATCCACCACTCCCTGGTGGTAACAGTCGCTGAATCGTCCGGTGCCTAGCCGACTGATACGACAGCAGACACTATGCTCCCAACGACCAATGTGATTCCCAAATGCGGGTGCTCCCAGATGCGTATTTCTACCAGGTAATGGCTGCGATATGGCAACGACAAGCATGACATCACTACCTCGTGACCAATTGGAGGAGGGCAAATGCACTTTGCAAGTTCTTCCCAATGCAACGCTGCAAAATCACCGAGCAGGGTGGCTAGCTTTTTGTGGAGTAGGTTGCACGTTCAAAGGCTGACATGTCCGATTGCCAGCTTGTCCCAACACCACGAATGAAGCCTTTGGGAGTGGGGAGAGGAAGGGAGGGGGGGAGGGCCGGAAAAGGGATAAGCGACCTAATTAGTGTGGTCTGGCATGCATTGCAATGTGCTGACTCCACTTTGAACAACACAGGCTTCTTCCGATCTGAGCTCCGGGCATGTTATGAGCCTCAGCTTTGCTAGAAGGCATGCACCGGATTGCAGACCGGCCATCTCAAAGGAAGTTGCACACCTCGCACAACTCAGCTTGCAGCCTGATGGCCTCGATTTTTGAGAGCAATATTTGAGCCAATCCAGAAACGTGCCTGGCAAGGAGACAAAGCATGAGGCAACTCATGTCATGGAGCCTGTGGAAATCACATGCAACAGTAACTTCTCCTGATACAAGCCACTGTGTGCCATGCCAAACTGGCTGCCAAACCATGCTGAGCATTGTCATGTACAGTGCCGCTACACCGTATCATACCATATCAACGTTTACAAGAACAAGGCGGAGGGGCTCTCCGACTGGCTCCTGCACCACTGCCAGCACAACCTCGTGTCTAGCGAAAAGGCTTGAAACCCCGCATGCGCTAGCAGCACACCTTCACCGAAAGAGGCACGATCGAGCTTTCCATGTACCTGAAGTTGCTCATACTTGAAGCTTGGACTGACAAGATGCCAATGCACATTCAAGAAGCCTGTGCAACCCTTCGCGGGGGGTGCAATGGAGCCTGGCCGAAGCGGTGCTTCCGCACACAAGCGCCTTCTTCGAAGCCTGAAGCCAGGACCAGCCACAGTTATTATGGGCACCGCTTATATCTTGACGCACATGCCGTGTCACGTGCATTCGTGCTCTGTGCTCTGGATCAGAGAATCTTGGGCAGATAACAGTGACTCACGCAGCCCATCGCTGCCACGAGCGAGCTCTGCGGCTGCGGTGGCTTCTTTCGCATTCTGTGAAACCTCTTTCGCTGCGACACGTATCAGCGACCGTGCAAAACATGGGGCCGTATGGCCGGGTATGACCATGGGGTCGGAAGGAACAGTGGAAGGAAACGGACTCGAAAAAAATAGAGCGTGCCCGGGCGTGCTTGGGCGGCGGTCGGCGGTCGCTGAACACTGCCGCAATGCAGCACTGAGATCAGGACCTATGGGTGGACAATACCACGGGGCGAGACCGGGCAGTGAGCTCTCCTGGTGCTTCGACCACATGCTGCCAGAATCTACCAGAGCAGAGCCACCTGTCTCAAGCCCGTCTCAGCCCGTCTCAGCCCGTCTCAGCCGTCTCAGCCCGTCTCCTGCTGCCATGCCTGCGCTGTCGCGAGGCAACCCAGGTAGGTCGCAAGGCACAGATGCAGGTGGCGCGGGCGGCGCGGGCACCTCAAGGAAAAAATTGGTCCGTTCCATTGAGACCTGAACAATCCTGTCGACAGAACTGCTGCCTCACCGACAGCGTGAGAGAAACAACCATTCAAAGCGACACCCAGCATGAAGGCAGCTTGTCCGGCTTCATGGCATTGAGCTACTTGTAGCTTCTGGTTGACTTTCTTGATCTTTCTTCTAGCTGCGGTTTGGACTCATGCGTGGGCTCTTCTAAGCCGACTCTAAAGCTTGTGATGGAAGCCAGCTGCCGCAGAGACAACAATTTAGCACAACCAGAAATCTGCATCTGCCACTCGCGCCCATGCTGCCGCCTTTGTCTTCCGATATTAAAGCAACAGCAGCTACAGGCTTGAGCTGTAGCTAGTCCATTCGCGATTTGCATGCATGCCATAGTCGACGGAGCGCACAGTAAGCGACCCATGTGGATTAACCATGTTTCCATCTGCGCTTCCGTCACTTGACCTATCGAACTCTCACATTCAAGGGAGGGCACGTATGTACAAGCAGCATGTCTGATCAAATGCGTGAGGCAAGGGCTGGCAAAGCTAGCTTTCGCAGATTCCTCTCTTAGAGCAGAATGCGGTCAGACATGCAATGGGGCTTGAATATCTGAACGAGTCCTGTCAGCGCTGAAACCTGCACAGAATCAATCCAGCAACGCCAATCAATGCCAAGAGTCAAGAAAGCCACGGAGTCACGCGACTTCACCGGCCGAGCGAGAGTGACAATGCATGACACCACTACGACAACGCTTGCCAGGAGGACACGCTGACTTTCTCCGACACACCACCCTTGATGCCGCGAACCTTACCAAGGCATGCAGTTGATGAACTGATGACAATGACTCAGTTCCCCAAACAGATCCAAACAGTGCATGTGCTCAGGTTGCCTACGTTGCCTACGTCTCGCGCCAACATGTCCAGCTCGGGAGAAGTTTGGGCGCATGACGGAACCAGTGTACGCGATTCAGCCAAGCGGGGTGCCCAGATGTGCCCAGTCTCCGCCAAACTCTGGCAAACTAAAGGGAGTTACATGTAAATTTCAATGTACATGCAATACCTATGGACTACGGCATGCAGACAATAGATTCCGACAAGCTCGTGTGGGACTTGGTCGTCTTTGCCTCGATGCTCAAAGTACTTCGTGGTGTCTTTGCTTGCCATCGTGGTTTGAGAATAGTTGAGGCCACAACGGCATGCGCTGAGTGAAAAACGGGCTCGTGTGATCCGCTTGTTTGCTTTCAGTTTGCTTGCCGTTCTTTTCGTTTTCATGCCATTCTCTTCAAGTATGAAGGACTGCTCGGCGGAAATGTGTCGGGCCGAAGGGCAGCAGGGCTGGATGGCGCGCCAAATTGCGTGTTGGCTGAAGGGCTGGAGAAGGCCTTGGCGGGTTCCCCGACTCCCATCTCCAAGACCTTGACCATCGTTGAACGGGGCTGAGGTAGGTTTGGGGTGGGCTTGATGGGGCTTGACCTTGTTTGAACGGCAGATTGGGTTTGGGTGGGAGTCGGGGGGGGGTTGTTTAAGTTGACCTTCTTTAGGTTTTGGGGGGTTTGCCTTCTTTGGACCTTCTCTAGTGGGGTCGAATTCGGTTTTGAGGCGTGGTCGGGCTTGGCTTAGAGAGTTTGGAATGAGTTTTGGTTGGTTTGCCCAAAATCTGTTCTTCAAATGGGGCGGGTTGCCAACGTAAAACATGCTCGAGCCCGTTTTGAGATTCTGAAAGACAAGGAGAAACCTAGGATACATCGGGAGCCCCCTCCAGTTTCACCAAGCCGAATTTCACACAGCAGCTTGAAGGTCTTCAATGAACCGACTGGCTCACTACGCATCATGCACCTCCCGAAAGGCGTGCTGTTTAGTCGACTTTGTGCCAGGGGAGGCCAATCTGCAAGCAATGTCTGTGCTCCGCGATGCTTGAAGCTCGTAAGGTGCAAGCACTCGCTGACATGTCCCACACTTGGCTGTCCTTGCAAACGTTCATCACAAGGGCACATCAGTGCCAAGTCATGCTATTGTCATGTAGCCATCAGTCCTTGGGCGTGTTTTCAAAGACCACCTGCGACAAGCACTGCAGGGGTTCGGACTAGCTCGACTAGCCTGAGAATTCAAGCTGCATGCTGCATCGTTTGCATGTCATCATTTCGGGAGATTGTCCGGAAAGCTGCGGACTCCAGGAGAGGGTGATTATTTTCGTGTCCGAGCATGCCACTTACTCACTACAGTGCTCACGGACATTCGCCAAGCAAGGAGAAAAGGGTAAGGGCGTTTGGAAAGAATCCAAAAAAGATCCTGAATGTGCAGGCTGCGCACTTGTAGCTGCAATGGGTGACAGGCGTGCCGGAGCTATGTCCCCTCGTGCTGTTGCTGAATGTCATGCTTGCAAGTAGATGCTGGTGGTGTTCGCACCCACATGAACCCCAGAAGAATGCCAACAACAAACACACGCTAAGCAAACTTTAGCACACTATAACAACGAGCGAATGCCCATATCAGCGCACGAAACTCGTGGAGCCCTCTCGCCTCTGCCGCTTGCCTGGTGCGAACTGAAGCTCCCACAGGTCCTACGCGGTGGCTTGTGAATCATAGCGCAGAGGCATTGAGAGGCACTCCTGCGCTCGAAGGCCTCAAAGGTGCCAGAAGCTCAGCCTCTCTCCGTGCAAAGACAACGTGTGCCCTTTCTTACAGGCTCTTGGTGTGATCGGTTGGGCTTCTTGCGCATTGCGTGTTCAATCCATTCTTAGGGCTGAGGGTAGCCACATGGGCGCTCAGTATGGGCACCTGCTTCTTCCACAAACAGCGGGTCAACTTTAAGGAGCTCTAGCGTGCTAAGCAGGAGAGCAGGAGGGGCTACATCGATTGGCCCGCCCATGGGAGAGCACGCTCTCGCCTAGGCGCGATCGCGGCCGCGCTCGCCATCCTTGACTGCCCTCGCTTTCGGATTTCTGGGTTCGTGAGATGCGAAACTGTCGCCGCTTTTTGGCGTCTGGTTCGCGAAATGCAAATTGCTGTTGTTTTTGGACGTGCATGCGAAATGCGAAACAGTCAAACAAGTCATCGCTTTGATCTGGGCTCACATTGTCTCTCCACTCTTTTGATTTTATCCCAGCATAATGGAGGCCTTATAAAGTTGCTATACAACCCGTATTTCAGAATCCTTGAAACAAGGTAAGGTGTCATATTAAGGGAACATGTATCTCCCTTAGGGCCAAACTCAAATGTCTGCGCATATGGCTGCGGCTAAGATCTCTGGGACTCTAGCTGGATTTCCTGCTGAGAAGGATGTGCAGCGAACTCATATGTCGATTTGGCCTTCCAGAAATTGGTTTAGAGTTAAGGGCGACTTCAAAGTCTTAAAGGGACGGAATAATTATGGAGTGATGAGCCGCATGAGTCTGTCCCGCAGGGCGCAGGTAAGAGCTGATGATGACGGGCTTCGGGCGGCTTCGGGCTTCCACTCAAGGAATTCTTGTCTACGCCATTCGGCTGAGGTACAAGTTTCGGACTTGGACTTTGCATTGCCTGCGTACTTATGCGCTCCTTGCCGCTCACAACCACGCCAACATGTTTGGTTCTCTGCCGGCAATACTGTTTCGTCAAGCAGCCTCGCTGCCTGTCGTGTGGTCGCCATGTGATATGATGTGATATGATATGATCTGACGTGACGTGATATGATGAATTCGCCTCGGCTTCCTGCCAAGAAGCGTCTGGAACAAGCAGACCCGGATCGTGCAAAATTTTCTGACGCCACCCCCCCCCCCCGCCCCCGCCGTGTGGGACTCCCCCCAATCGCTTGGAGGAGCTGCAAACCAAGCCGTGGAGGGTCCCGCTTTGTCGGTGGCTCCTACAGGTGAGGAGTTGCCTCAACCCCCTAACCCCCCCCCCCCCCCCCCCCCACCCCCCCCCCCACCCCCACCCCCCCCCCACCCCCCCCCACCCCCCCCCCCCACCCCCCCCCCCCCCCCCCCCCCCCCCCCCCCCCCCCCCTTCTTTGACCCCTCTGCCCTTCCTCCCCTTTTTTTGCGAAACCCGCTTTCCTCCTTTCCTGTCCTGGGGCCGGCCCGGCTGCCGAGGCGGCGCGCGCAAGCGTTTACAATTATGACTTGCATGCTCGCGAGTGTTCTTGCGTCCGCCTGTGTCATCGCATCCGCGGGTCTGCACGCTCTTCGTTCCACGCGTCTGCGTGGGTGTCGGTGGGCCCGCGCGACCACGAGGATGTCTGCGGGCCTGTGCGTCCGCACGTCCGACCGTCCGCGGGTCAGTGTCTCTGCGCGTCCACACTTCCGCGAGCCACGTGGCTTGGGCCTGCGTGTCTGCGTCCGCGTATCTGCGCGTCCACGCGTCCTGTCGCACCAGACCCTGCAGCTGAAAAGTACATAGCGTACATGATTCGCTTGCCCCTTTGCCCTGCCAGCAGATCACCTTTTGCAACTTTTTGAATACGAGGCACATCGAGGCACGCAATTTGGCACGCAGGAGTAAACTGCAAGCCCCTTACCCGATCCTACCGTTTGTCGTTGGTCTTTGGCACGGCGGCCCTCAAACGTATGGATCGATTTTATGGACAGAGTCGGGGCTCCGGCCCCGAATCACGATGTTGCAATGACCCTGTGTGTCCACGTCCGTAGAAGCTTGAGGCTTCAAGAGGCCTCAGGATTTGCGTTGAATACAGACTGGTATTATATGATCATGTCGGCTCCAGTGGGTCTGTGTGACATAACATAACATAACATCGAGGGCTTAGGCGAGTTCAAAAGGACTTGGGTCTCCCGAGGATCTGAGGTGATTGAGGTGTTTCATAGCCCCAGGCAGCGCCGTCCCTGAAATGTGGCTGCCTGGCTTGGTTCACCATTCATACCATCACAGTGGCTCCCCGATCCTGCTGCAGCCTTGAAGCGGCAAGCTGCTAAACACTCCGTTTGAGGGGTGGCAAATGTGTGATCTGTTCCGGGGGAAAGGATTTGCCCATTGTTGCCCTTTGCTCACCATGAATATCACCAAGTCGTGCAACTGGCTATGCAGCTTGCAAGGGAGACTGAGCCATAGCTTGTGGAAAGGGACCTTTCTGCGTATCCCTCGCATTGTACCCACC